AAAGCCAAAAAACAGGTTTTTGAGTAAAGATAACAGTTAACACTATAACTGAATACTCTTTTTTATGCAAGAAGTTGAATTATTTCTCTATATATTTATAGCCAGTTGCAGTAAACACTTGACTTTATGAAATTTATTTATAAATCACATTTTAATGCTACATATCATATATAAATTAGGCCCTCTCCTGGTTTTCTTAATAATTTATATTTCAACAACTTTTCCTGTTTAAAAATATTTTTTTATTTATTTTTAGAGCGAGGGGAAGGGTAGAAGAAAGAGAGGGAGAGAAATAATAAAGTGTGGTTGCCTCTGGCATACCCTCTATTGGGGACTCGGCCCACAACCCAGGCGTGTGCCCTGACTGAGAATCAAACCAGCAACCCTTTGGTTTGTAGGCCAGCACTCAATCCACTGAGCCACACCAGCCAGGGCTCAAACACTTTCCTTTGTTCATATCTTATATTAACAATTTTTAATTTGTCTCTAGGGTATCTTATAATAAATCACTTGGTAGTGCTCAGCTTGCATACTCCAGCATTCTATGTGCTCACACACACAGCTAGTTCTGTAGCCACTCAATATCATTGTTTATAGGTAAGCACTTGGGAAACTTCAAAGGGCTTCCTTTCCAAATACATTTTATCAACTGCAAACAGATAAGCCACTATATAATGCACTGTTGATATGTAAAAATCTATGTGCACAGACCTGTGCAAAAAACCATATATGATATGTGATATATGATATATTAATATATATTTATATAAAACTGTTGGAGGCAAAGGCAAAGGGTAAATGTTGGGGAAAGTTTCACTTCCATTTGTCAGAGATGGTGAAAGATTGCAGGTGCTGATGGACTTTTGGCTTTACAAGGGCCTTTAGAAGTTCACATTCTATAGGGTTCAAATTAGACTGCTGGTAAGAGGAAGTGTCACTCTTCATTCCAAGTAGGTCTGCTGACTTCCCAGAGATAAGAGCAAATTGAGCTCCCCAGAGTGGCAAGAATAGATGTCACTACAAGGAATGAGGATATCCAGCTGATATGCATACAAACTTCACTTTTCGGGAAGAAGTGAAACTTCCTGGAGACATAGTCAGATTCACCCCACTCCAAAGGGCAGAAAGCCAGAAACCAGATATAGCCACTTCTCTGAAACTGTAACAAAAAAAGCCTAAGCAGCTGAAACAGGCTTGGAGTTCAAGGCAATGGAAACAGAGAGGAAAATGTGGAAGGGCAGAGATGAAGCAGAGATCCAAGGAGGCAGTAAGCTCAAGGTGTTTGTCAGCAGATTCCAGGTCTCACCTGAAGAATGGGTTCTGGAATGGGAGACAGGTAAATAATTTAAATGCACAATATTTGGTATCATACAGACCTAAATATTAAATCCTTGTCTTGATACCTAGAATGTGGCTTTGAGCAAGTTATTTAACTCTTTTTTTCAGGTATAGTATGTGTTGAACATGTATAATTATGGCAGTCACCTCCTAGTGTTGTGAGAATTGAATTTGTTAATATAAGATGATTAGATGAGTGCATAGCCCAGACTGGGTACTTCAATAGCTGGTGCCCATTATTAAAATTAGATTTTGGAGGAAAGAAGGATAAGGATGGACCTGAAACTGGAGAAACTGGGTAAGCAAATATGAGGCAGGCCAGTGTTTCACTACAGAGCTTTAGTTTAATTTGTATTGGGGGACAAGGCTATAGGAAAAAGAACCTCAGTTTCTGGAGTTTTGTCATTGCATTAGTGAAGGATTTTATACTGAGGTCCCCAAAATGTTTTTTTCATCCTCATCTGAGGATATTTTTTCATTGCCTTTAGAGAGAGAGGAAGTGAGGGAGAAAGGGAGAGATAAACATCGATGTTAGAGAAAAGCACCTATTGTTTGCTTCCCATACGTGCTTGGACCTGGGATCATTCATGTCAGGATCTGGACCAGGGATCAAACCTACAACTTAGGCATGTGCCTTGGCCAGGAATTGAAAGCATGGCCTTTTGGCTATGGTATGATTCTCCAAACAACTGAGCTACACTGGGCAGGGCCCCAGAATATTTAACCAAGACTTTCAAACTCTTCCCTTATTGGTTAGGAATGTGACCCTTTAAGCCTGAGTAGGGCGGGCAGGGAGGGACAATTGGGTGAGCTACAGAGAAAGAAAGACTGAAGGGACAGAGCACTGGATACTTTGCAGAAGCAGCCAAAATGTTAGCAGGGACACTCAGAGCTACTCACGCTCCTCTCGTTCACAAATCACCCTAATCCAAGCCATCACCAACTTTTGCCTGGATTATTGGAATAGCTTTCTAACTGGTTTGCCAGCTTCCACCTTTGCTCTCTCTGCCAAAACTCTCTTCTCAAAATGCAGACATAGAAATCTTGCTCTGCAATGATTCCCAGTCCATTAATGCACGTTAGAATCACTTGAGGAAATTTTTAAAAGACCTTATTTCAATGGACTTCCACCAAGATGGAGGTGTAGGTGGAAGCACTGCACCTTCTCACACAACCAAGTTTAAAAACAACAAAGTTTTAGCAACAAAAACGCAGCCAAACCACAGAAAATTGAACTACACAGAAGTCTGACAATAATGAACCCTTCAGCCAAACCGGTAAGAGGGGCAGAGCCAGCAGCAGAGCAGGGTCAAGCAGGAAAGATCCACCAGACCGACCCGGGCCAGTGATGCAGGCACGCCAGCAGCCAAGGGCAGATCCCAAGTGTGGAGAAGCGGGCAGACCCACTGAGGGCGCAAGGCACTGGACCCACTGAGGGCTGATCAAGGTCATACATTTGCATGCAGATAAACCGGTGAAGGAGCTAGCAGTGAGATGGACTGCCCAGGCCCCAGTGGCAGGAAGCAGCAGAGGGGACCACCGTTGTCCCTCTCTGACCCTGCCCCCACATACAGTGTCACAACCCAGCAACCTGGGTAGCCTTGCCCTGGTGAACAACTAAGGCTCCTCTCCTCATACCTAACAGGCTCGAACAGATCAAAACATGGCTCAAGAACAACTCAGAGCCCAAGAGCCCATAAATCTAAGCCATGAAGAAATAGCCAAACTTTCAGATGCACAGTTCAAAACACTGGTGATCAGAATGCTCACAGAACTGGTTGATTTTAGTCACAAATTAGAGGAATATAAGAGGGCTAAACTAATTGAAATGAATGGTAATACACAGGAAACCAATAGTAATGGAAAGGAAACTGGGACTCAAATCAAAGGAGTGGACCAGAAGGAGGAAAAAAATGACCAAACAGAAAAGGATGAAGAAACAAAAATTCAAAAAATGAGGAGAGGCTTAGGAACCTTCAGGACATCTTTAAATGTCCCAACATCTGAATTATAGGAGTACCAGAAGGGGAAGAGGAACAGCCACGAGTGGAAAACTTATTTGAACAAATAATAAAGGAGAACTTCCCCAATCTGGCAAAGGAAATAAACTTCCAGGAAATCCAGGAAGCTCAGAGAGTCCCAAAGAAGTTGAACCCAAGAAGGAACACACCAAGGCACATCATCATTATATTAGCCAAGATTAAAATGAGAGTCCTAGAAGCAGCAAGAGATAAGGGAACAGTTACCTACAAAGGAGTTCCCATCAGACTGTCAGCAGATTTCTCAAAAGAGACCTTACAGGCAAGAAGGGGATGGAAAGAGGTATTCCAAATCATGAAATCCAAAGACTTACATCCAAGATTGATCTATCCAGCAAAGCTTTCATTTAGAATGGAAGGGCAGATAAAGTGCTTCTCAGATAAGATCAAATTCAAGGAGTTCACTATCACCAAGCCCTTATTATATGAAATATTAAAGGGACTTATCTAAGAAAAAGAAGATAAAAAAGATGAACAGTGAAAGGACAGCAAACTCACAGTTATTAACAATCACACCTAAAACAAAAGCAAACTAAGAGGACAGCTAGATCAGGAGCAGAATCATAGAAATGAAGATCACATGCAGGGTTAGCAACAGGGGAGTGGGAGAAAGAGAAGGGAGGAGAAGGTACATAAAATAAGTAGCATAGATGGTAGGTAGAAAATAGATAGGGCGAGGGCAAGAATAGTATGGGAAATATAGAATCTAAAGAACTTGAGACACGTGGTCATAGACTAAAGGGGGGAATGGTGGGGGAGGGTGCGTGCACAGTGGAGGGGAATGAAGGGGAGAAATAGAACAACTGTAATGGCGTAATTAATAAAAAATATATATATATATTTTAAAAAGACCTTATTCCAAAAAGTTAAATCAGAACTTCAGGTGTCACATTTTGTTCCACTGCTTAAATCCTTTAGTGTCTTCTTCTCCCTCAAAAACAACTTCTTACTATATTCCATATGATTAGGCGGCTGCCTGTTTTTTTTAATTTATTTTTTATTCTTAGTTTTTAATTACAGCTTACATTCAATATTATTCTGTATTTATTTCAGGTGCACTGCATAGTAGTTAGACAGTCATATACTTTACAAAGTGATTCCGCCGATATTTCCAGTACCTATCTGGCACCCTACATAGTTATTACAATAATATCGACTATATTCCCTATGCTCCAGTTTATAACCTTGTCACTATTTTGTAACAACCAATTTATATGTCTTAATCCCTTTCCCTTTTTTACTCATTCAGCTCCCCAAGCTCTCTCCCCTCCGGCAACTATCAATCTGATCTTCATATCTATGAGTCTATTTATTTTGCTTTTTCAATTCTACATATAAGTGAAATCATATGGTGTTTGTCTTTCTCTGACTGACTTATTTAACTTAGCATAATACTTTCTAGATCCATCCATGCTGTTGCATATGGTAAGATTTCATTCTTTTTATGACTTGGTAATATTGCATTTTCTATATATACATATATATCACTAGCCTATTGATGGGCACTCAGGCTGCTTCTATATCTTGGCTATTGAACATAACGCTGCAATGAACATAGGGGTGCATATATTATTTTTTTTGTTACATACATTAACCCATTTATTATTGACTAGCAATGTTTCAAATTGTGGAGCTTCTACTGGTCTTTCAATTCCTTCGGTCTTCTGATGGCAGACTTTATTGTGACAGCAGAAGTGGTATTGTAGGTCCAGGCACAACCATCGACCATTTTCATGGAGGAGTCACAGTGCCAGATCCCCACTGCTCTCCTCTTCATCTTGGTTTTGCCACAGAAGGAGCAAGTATACTCAACATGCTGGATGATCTCAATTCTCTTTACCATTTTCCTGAGGGAGGTGCCATAATGGGTGCCATATTTACTGATGATTCTGACTTTCTTGGTGCATTTAGCTATTTTGCTGCAAAGGAAGTCAGACCCCAAGAGGATATTATTTAAAATTAGTGTTTCAGGTTTCTTGGAATAAATACCCAGAAGTGGTCAAGGTATAATAAGCCAGTTCTATTTTTAATTTTTTGAGGAAATTCCATACTGTTTTCCACAGTGGCTGCACTAGACTGCATTCCCACCAACAGTGCAAAAGCATTCCCCTTTCTCCACAATCTCACCAGTACTTGTTGTTTGTTGATTTATTAATGATGGCCATTCTGACAGGTGTGAGGTGGTAGCTCATTGTGGTTTTAATTTGCATCTCTGTGATAATCAGTGATGTTGAACATCTTTTCATATGTCTTTTGGCCACTGCTTATATCCTCTTTGGAGACTCGATCTCCTACCACTTTCCTCTTTGCTCACTATGTTTCAGACACACTGCCTTATTTGTTCTTTTGTGAACATCCTAGTCAAGCTTCTCCTTCAGATACTTTTCAGTTACTGTCCCCTCTGCCTGGAGGACTCTCCCCGAAACATATGCATGGTTCTCTCCCTTATTTTTGTCAGCTCTCTGCTTAAATGTCACTTTATCAGAAAGGTCTTCCATGCCTAGTCAATCTGGCATACCACTCCATTCACACTCTGTCCCTCGGTCTTATTTTGTTCTTTTTATGCACTATCACTACCCTACATATTTTAGATCAATTTGTTTCTGTTTTCCCACTAGGATGTAAGATCTATGAAAAGAGTGAATTTTGTCTGTCATGTTTATATCTAATCTTGTTCTTAGAGCTTTGTCTGGCATATAATAAATGCTCAATAAATATTTAATGTTGGTTGACTGACTGACTGAATGAATAAGTGAGTGAATCTCTGTTTCCACCTTGCTAGGCTCTGAGTGTATGGGAAAAGCCAGAGGAAGTTCCCAGGCTATGACACTACATATTCAGCATATGGCTGTAGCATAAGACTACATTAAACATCTATTATTAATCATTATGTCCAGATGGTTTTTGGTTCAATGTCATAGGATGGATTCCTAGCCATCATAAAAGCCTATTGGTGGTACATAACCTGATAGGTATTACAAGGCCCTATCTAGAGCCTTGGAGAGATTTCTGAGGTTAGTTCTGAAAATGTAGCAGATGGCTATGCAAATGTGTTAACTGATAGTAATACCACATTTGCATAAGTATGTTTTTTCAAAACAATGTATTTCTTTACAAAAAGCTGGACTAGAAATGGCACATTATGTGTTTCCCATTGGTCCTTGAGTGTGATTCCAGTTCAGATAATAGGCTGGGTGGCTCTGGATTGCTCAAATTTGCCTTATGGAGCTACCATGTGAATCCAGGTAGATTCTGAAGTAGCATAAACCTTCCTAAACTGGATATGCACCACTTTTGATTATTGAGGAGTGTCAGAATTGGCCCTAATTGCTGCCATTTTGATCTACTTCTACTCTACCCACCCTGGCACAGCTGGACAACTCACTGTCACAAGAACAGTCCTGCCTTGAACATTGCCATTTCTACAGCTGTGCTTTTGTAATTTTCACTACCTAGAAAACTCTTTACTGTCTTCTCTGACTGTTTGAATTCTAGCCAGTTTACAGAGCCAGAATAAGTATCCCTGCAGAGCAAGGTCTTCTCTGACCATCCCAGATCAAATTGATAGCCCCTTTCAGTGCAAGTAGGAACCATAGCTCATGCCATCAACCCTTCAATAGCTTATCCATGGATGTCACATTAGTTAAGAACACAGGCTCTTGTCAAGGCACACTTGGGCTTCAGTCTTGGCTCTACATGCCCATAGGCAAGTGAATTCATCTCCAAAAAGATCACACCTTAGTAGCGAAACTAAAATACTACTAGAATTAACTACGCTAGCCCTGACCAATGTAGTTCAGTTGGTAGGGCCTCATCCTGAAAAGCAAAATGTCACCAGTTTGATTCTCAGTCAGGCGAATGCCTGGGTTACAGGATGGGTACCCAGTGAGGTTGCATACCAGAGGCAACCAATCAATGTTTCTCACGTCCATGTTTCCTTTCCTTTATTTCTCCCCTCCTTCCTCTCTAAAATTAAATAGACAAATAATTTCAAAAACTAGATTCCACCTAACCAAATTTTATTTAAAACCATAAAGTGATCAAGCTGACTCACAAGTATAATAATTTCCTGCCAAAACAAGTTCCGATTAAAGGAAGACAATAAAATGTGGGCACTCAACAAGGTAACTTTTACAATATCCATAAACCAATAAAAATTAATAGACCTATAAGAATCAGGAAATATGATGTATACACAGGGGAAAATTAGTAAAAATATTTAGACCCAAAATAACACATATGAAATAGTATACAAAGATTTTTAAAACAGCTATTTAAATATGTTAAAGAATCTAAGGAAAAGCATGTACATAATGAAAAGAGACTGAATCTCTAAAAAAGAACTAAATGGAACTTCAGGTGCTGAAAAACACCATAGCTGTAATGAAAAATGAACTGGATAGTTTTCATGGCATTTAAACTCTATAGGAGAAAATATCATCAAACTCCATTATGTGGCAGTAAGAACAATAGAAATTGAAGCATAAAAAATGATAGAAAAAAACAAAATCTCAGTGATCTGTATGACAATATCAACAAATAAAGCAAATGTATTTACAGAAGGGGGAAGAGAGTGTAGAAAAATATTTGAAGAAATAATGAACAAATAATTGAATATTCGATAATGAGTATAAACCTACATGATGCAGAGTCCAGCCCACGGGGTCCATGTGTTGTGGCTGCGACAAATAAATTCACATGGACTACAGAAGTTCTATAGAGAAAAGGAATGACAAGGCTACTCTATAAGTGAGAGAAGGCCCCAACCCCTGCCTAGACAGGGTTTATTGCTTTTCTGGGTACATTACATCAAGGATGGTCCTTATTTACTATGCACAGGTTTGATATAGGTGATTACCTTTTACAGATAACAAAGGAAAGGATGTTGCAGATACAAGGAGAAAAGTGGCTGAACTGCTTACACACCATACTTGGATGTTTAGCACAGATTTTAGTAAGTTACTTTAAAGATATGCAGTAAACATTTGCTGTTTCAATTCAGGGTGAGGGAGTTTTAGCAAAAAGCAAGCCTCAAAGCAGCCTAGGTATATTGCAGTCCTAATTCCCCACAGGAAAACTAATCCATGGGCTCGGTTCTGGTGTGGGGACTTGCTCCCTGCCAGTACTCCAAATCAGGGGCTGGGCTACATTTGCCACTGCCACACAGATAGGTTCCCTATACCTACAGGTATGAGACATTAAAAAAAGTACATGCAGAATATTAAAAAAAAACATGAAGCAACCACATGAAGGTACATCATAACCAAATTGTTGGAGACCAGCAATAAAAGGAAAATATTAAAGTTAAAAAGTAAAAGGAATATATGTAAATACATATAAATGAAGAAATAGAAAAATCAACACTGATTCTCCACCAGAAAAAATGCTGAAAGGAAAAAAACTGTCATTCTGGAACTTTTTTTCAGACAAGCACAAGTTGACAGAATTTATCACCAAAAGAACTGCACTAAAAGAAATGTTTTTCAGCCTGAAAGAAAATAATACTAAGATAGTAACTCAGATCTATACAAAAAAATGAAGCTAGAAATTGTAAAACTTTCCCCTGCATACTTAAAAGTGAATGAGTATTTAAAGAATAAAAATAATTATTGTGAGGTAGATAACATGTGTAGAAGTAAAATGTATGAAGACAATGACATAAAGTTGGGGCAGTTGTTACAAGGTTCTTACTTGCAATGATATATTAATATTCAAAATAGGTTGTGATAAGTTAAACATGCATATTGCAATTACTAGAGTAACAATTAAAAAGAGAAACAATAAATAAAACCTAATAAGCCGGAAGATGGCGTCGGAGTAAGAGGGAGCGGATTCTAGCTCCCGCACTCGTGGGTGAAAATCCTGGCAGATCTATAGAAAAGCAGCGCACTAATCCATCAGTTATCCAGCATTTGTGAAATTGAAAGAACAGAGACTCTGTTGGACGCTGAAACACCAGAAAGCGGCAGAGGTTGGCCAGGGGACCCAGACAAACACAGGAGCAGAAGGGATACACACCACGCAGCGTGCCATGACGAGCACACAGAGTTTCTAGGTCTGCGCCCAGTCCTCAGATCGGCTCCCGGCTTCCAGTCTACCCCCCTCAGACTATCTGGAAGCCCGGGACGCTGAGGGGTCCTGGGAAAAGAGCTGAGACCCTCAACCCCCTCCCTTTCTGGCCAAGCAAGGTGGGGGGCCAGGAGAGACTTGTTTGATAGAGTTTACAGAGAGGGTGCGGAGGACAAAGGGCCCCAACCAAAGACTCTGTGGTTGCCAGCCCAGGAGAACTCAGAGGTGCAGCCTGGGGCTCTGAATCCGGTAGACTTGGCAGCCTGCTCTGCTTCACACCCAGCTTGGCAGCGAGCCCAGGATTGGGCAGAGGGTCTGGGGCCTCCCAACTGAACGGGGGCAGGCCTGTGCTCAATCCCGAGGGAACCAGGCAACTAGGCCGGTGCAGGTGCCTGCAAACACAGCAAACCAGACTATGGCAGTAACCCCTGGGAGGGGAGCGCTGCGAGACAGTCCTAGCTCCCCATTGTAGGGAGCTGAGGGAGAGGCGCCAAGTGTCTGGATCCTGAGAGGGGCTGGCTGAAAAAAAATCACAACAATCGACCCTCAGCCAACTGCAACCAGAAAAACCGGTTCGGCTAGTTTGAAGCCAACAAGTGACATTCCTTTTTCTGAGGTTGTTTTTGAGAGAGTATTTTGGTGGGTTTTTTTTTTACTTTATTTTATTTTTATTCTTTCTTTTTTTTATTTACCTTTCTCCCCTCTCCATTCCTTTTCTTTATCTTTTTGCTTTTTAAAGTAATCTCTTATTTCTTTTAAACTTTATTACTGTTTCATCTTTCCATACTTTTGTCCTCTTTTCCCAGATTTTCTGTTTTATTTTTTTTTCTTTTCTTTCTAAACTTATTACTCTTTCTTCCATTCCCCTACCATTTTTTCCTTTCTTCCTTTTATTTCTTTCCTTATCATTTCTTCCTTTTACCCACAAGAGTCACAATCAACTTGAAAATATGAAAAGACCAGAGCTGGACCCATAGAAGAGGCCTCCCAATAGTAGAGTCAGAGAGACAAATTGCACTTTACTGTAGGAGAGAAGCCACAAGTTGCTGCATATTTGAGTAGGTGGAAGCAGAGAACAACAGGATAACCAAAAGAGGCTGCACCATTGAAATTCACAGGCATTCCACCACAAAAGTTCATACCATAAACCCAGGGTGTCAAAACAGATTAATCTAAGAAGCTGAGGCTAACAAGAAGAGTCTCACAAACAATGGGAAGACAAAGAAACAATCCCCAAATGAAAGGAAAGGAGGAATCCTCAGAAAGAATGTTAGATGAAACAGAGGCAAGTCAACTATCAGATACTGAATTCAAAGCACTGGTTATCAGAAAGTTCAAAGAGCTCACAATCAGCTACCAGAAACTACAGGGAAGTTACAATGATCTCACTATGAACTATATCAACATGAAAAAGGAAATGGAAATTATT